CTTGTGTTTTGTTTTGTGTGAGCACATGGCTTTTTGTCTTTGATTCGGTGTGCCATGTGCTCATGTCAATTGTCTTGACCCCTCCCATCTTGTTACCTGATTATTAGTTAATTTGCCCCACATGTGGTCCCTCGTTACCCTCCTCATTTGCTCTCCATTTATTTTCCTTGTGTTTGCAGTCCTGCGTCAGTTCGTCTTCATCTCTCCCTGGATGTGTCGTGTCGTGTCCAGATCCTGCCTGGCCTTGCCTTGCCTTGCCAGCCTGTTTTTCCCCCACGGGGTAGTTTCTGTTGCTGTTTTGTTTATTTTTATTATCAATAAAAGCCCTTTCTGTGCAGTACTCAGTCCTCGCTCCATCCTCTACCCAAACCCTGACATCTTGCTCCGTCTTTCAACAAAAGTGTTTTGGCGAAACCGGCACTGTACTCCCTCATGTTGTGGACGCTATCCTCAGTAAAATGCGCAGCACACAATAGCAAATTGGGGTTATAATGCTCAGGAGCAGAGTTAAAAATAAATTGCAACCACTGTTTCCTGACATCATCCACTTTCGGAAGCCCAAACAAAGTCGTTTGGGCATGGGGGTGAACAAAACAGCGTTTCTTAAGACGGTCGCATACCGGACGAGAAGTACAGTGCAGTGTCGCATCACGCCACGTCTTTAAAATTCGAACACATTATTTTCTATGAGTGCACTCACACCGGTGGCGCCGTTCGGCATCTGTCCGCGGCGCCCAGCTACGTCGTGTTGTACTTGTTGTAAGAATTGTTCTAGACACGGCGCTGCGCTTCTCGTCCGGTATGCGACTGACTTTAGACATGCCGAAACTTGACGCTACAGCAGCTCTTCTGACATCACAACACCCGGAAACCAACACTGTAGTCAAAACGAGCCGTTCGTTGTAGTTCTTGAAAAGGGATTTTTTAAAAACTAAATATATCCCTTTGGAGTGGACTTTGAGATTTGTAACTTTGTAGATCTTTTTTATGCCCAAACATACACACTACACACTGACTAAAATTTAAAAAGTGAAAAAGCATAATAGGACCCCTTTAAGCTGGCCACACACTAGACAATTTTCAAATCTTAACCGATTTTAAAACCATGGGAGACCACAGACATGAAGACAGTTCAACCGATGTTTATCCTTATAATCCTCTGAACGCACACACTAGACAATTCGACCAGACCGCGAGACCACACACTTGATGATTGTAGGAACGATTTCACAGCGACGCGTGATCTCACGGACACTCGCGAGATCAAACGTGACTCGAGAAGAAAAACAAATAGAATACAATCAACGTTGTCAGCTGGGTCTCCTGGCGCGCGTTCTGCTTCACAGTGAAAACAAAGTATAGAAAATAACATGGGTGATGTTCTCTGCTTTCACGGCATGTTTGTGGCTGCCAAGTTTCAGCTATAGAAGCACGCATCATCCGGTAGGTGACGCTTGCTCGCTCTCATTGGCTATCGCGGGTATCACGTCAGAGGCAGCCCGATCAAGATTTGAGTTCGGCGACGCTCCGTCTCGATCGGGAGCAGTTTAATAATCGTAATGACACAACACAATAGAGGATGTTTTAGACAAAAAAATTGCTTGCGACAAGCCGCGAATCGGGACACACCCCCCGATCATCCGGGGGTGCAAATCGGGCTTAAAATCAGCCTTAAAATCCTCTAGTGTGCGACCAGCCTTATATATTTATGTTGGTTTTTCAGCTTAATGATGACTTTCATCGAGATCTCCTTGGACTTCATATTGGTAGCACCAGTCAAACAGCTTCCAAATGCCAAATGCTTTTATCTGCTTAATTTGTCTTGAAGTAATGAGGGAATGGACAGCACCTGGTCAATTAACCTCTTCTTAATCAATTGTCCATATACTATTGAGCCCATGAAAATGGAGGCACTTTGCTTAAAATGGCTGTAACTCCTAAATGGTAAATGTCATATTTTTGTGGAACCTCTTAAAATAAAGCTAAATGTCTGCACTTCAATCACATATTGATTGTTTTATTTCAAATCCATTGTAGTGGTGTATAAAGGCAAAAGCACAAAAACTCAGTCAGTGTCTGAATACTTCTGGACCTGAGTGCTGTATGTATCGAATAGATTTGTTTGGTCATTGCACTCCCTTACAGACAGTTTCAAAGACAATTACACCAAAAGTAGAAACATTATAGATGTTATGAAGATGATCTGAGAAAGTTTTGGTGGAGATTTGACAAACCTTCTGTGGTTAAAATTGGTTCAAAATGGCAGAAATGCTTAAACAATATTCATCAAGCATCATGAATGCATAGGAAGAAAAATATTTAGTTTTAACCAGATTATTAGATTTAATAATGATTTTTGGCTATTTATTTTTTGGCTAGTAGTACTTAAGTATGATCACGGTATGAATAGGAAGGTTAAAGTAATTTGGCCTCAATCATGAAACATGAGCATAATTAATTTTTTATGTAAATTATTCATAAAGCTGTTGTGATTCACAAACGTTAGTTGTTAGTTGGTTTGAAAAAATGTACAGCAGCTTCCAACATGCCTTTTTTACGAATGACTGTAATTCATTAGCACATGTTTAACTATGACATTTTAATGGTTTAATGAAGCTTTTGTGAATTTTCAGGAAGGTACTCTCTATGTGCAAATTACTCAGAATGTACTCATATATTTACAAAAGTTTTATGTATGAGATCCAATAAATCAAAGATTAATGAATATCTGACCTCACTTTCTGTATTCGTTCCTTGCCTTTATCTCAATGCGTTACATGCAAACAGTCTGATATGTGAAAAACGTTTAACTGCCATGATCTGTTATAAAGCTAGTTTTGAAGCCAACACTTTAACGATTGAAATATGAGATTGTAGTTTATCTGTTTCTAATGCCAGTGTTTTCCCATCAGCTGCTGCTGGAGATATGGAGCTCATATACAGTGATATCTCTCATGAGAAAAAGAGTGAAAAGAATAAAACAGGTAAGAAACTCAATGAAGCTCAGAGATCTACTTTAGGTTACTCTGTAAAACAACACAATAATCTGTCAGCTTGTGGTTTATTAGGCGTTGGAGTCATTGAATTAGTGATGCTACTGCCTAAATCTCAAGGTCAATCAGTCACTAATACTAACTGGAAACAAAAACCTTCTAGTTAATTTATTCATTGCAAATTGTTGTGTGTTGTTGCTCTTTCATGACTAAAAGAAAAGATTATATAAAAACTAGATTTCTGTCTTTTAAAATCACTTAGTTTAAGTTTGAAAGCTGTTTTATAGATTAAGATAATGTTTGAAACTCTAAGACGGTGTGTGGTAAGTGGTCAAATCTTGTTGCCTGTTTTGGAGTTTATTCTCTTGCTCTGAATCCGTCAGTCAGTTCCCATCCCATGTTCAATGCAAATTTGTTACTGTGTTTTTCCCCTTTTACACAAATGGAGAAGTGGCTTAAGAGCGTGTCATCGTTAGACTCTTTCTGCAGGATGACGGAAAGACTTGCAGGGTTGACTAATCAAGCTCAACCATTCAATGCTAGGCTAAATCCGCATCTCATTACCCATTCTGACATAGAGTTTGATTTATTTTCATTACATTAATTCAAAAATGTTACTATTTTGATGTTAAATTGTATTATTATTATATTAAAGACAGGGTAGGTGATTTGATTCAAAAACATTTTTGTTATGCTGTTTGAAAGCCTCTTCACGTCCAAGTTAAGTGGTCTAAATGTGTATATATATATGTATTTATATGGTCTGTGGAAGGCGCAGGACCATAAAATGTTCGTCCAATCATATTCTTCACTCTGAGGTCTACGATAGGCTGTCCTGTCTGCCTGTTAACGTATGTATTTGCGTACCTCCATGCACCCTGTTCACGCAGACACGATACGACATCAACATGTTACGTTACACTATTGCAGACCAAGCGAGAATGGAAGGCGTTATTGTTGTAATATTATGCGCTTTGTACTGTGTTTCTGGAGGAGGCGCGGCTTCGGAGAGTGATTTGCAGGGAGGGTGGGATCTTATGTATTCAAAGCTAGCTTGCTATCCTAACCTTTCCGAAATCACCTACCCTACACTCTAAAAAATTCTGGGTTGTTTCAACCCAATGTTGGGTCAAATATGGACTAACCCAACTGTTGGGTTAAATTTTTGTTACATTTTTAAATGAGCTTTTTAACCCAACAGTTGGGTTAGTCCATATTTGACCCAACATTGGGCTGAAACAACCCAGCATTTTTTAGAGTGTACCTTTAATTGTCACATTTTGCTATTTAATCATAATTATGTGTAATTAAATTAATTATAAGAAGAGGAATGTTCAAAACCATCAGTCTGTTGTTTTCAATGATTGTAACGTATAAAGAGCAGTGAAAGTTTTCGGTTGTGAACTAAGACTTCTTATAATGTCTTCTGTGGAAACTGCAGCATTAGAAACAAAGGTTTAGTGGTTTAGAAGATTAATCTCATTAAATTTAATTAAGCTAATTAATCTGTAGAGTAGTTAGTAGTTTAATAGTGTTGGGTCAGTTCATAAACGATTCGCTCATTGCGTCTACAGTATGTTACTAAAGAACGAAAGACTCGGGAAGTGAACTAATATTAGTGTTTATGTTTTGCTGCAATATAATGATTTTCTCATTTAGAATATTATCAAAGATTGTGTAAACGTATAACATTTTAACTCCGTTCGAATGAATGAAATGGCTGAACAAGAGAGTCGTTAAAACGATCCAATCTTTTTTAACTTGCACTGCATTGAATCTTTTCATCATTATTGTTTGCTGCTTTCTCTGTGAATTAGTTTCACTGGCGAAAAGCTTCATTTGTCAGTCAGCAGTTGTGGTAAAGCTGTGGTAAAGACTAACAGTAACAGCTACTCAGTATGTGTGAAGACTTCTGGTAATATTTCGTCTTGTCATCGTTTTTTCTTTTCTCTCCATAGAATCGCTCCCAGCTGCTGATGAGGAATATGCCACGGTCCGACCGCAGACAAAGAGGAAGAAGAGGAAGGAGGAGGAAGAGGAAGAGGTCCAGTACGGCGAGGTGAGGTTCACTCCGAACCACTCAGTCGCTCCACAGCAGCCCCAGGAGGAGTGTGTTTACTCGCAGGTACAAAGACGCTAGTTTCACAACAACAACTCGTGTACGATCGCACTTTACCTGGGAAACCAAGTGCTTTTTTCAATTATGTTTGACTTTGGGAGTTTTACGGGTTATATAAAGCACATATCTCTTTGCATTTGTAAATTATTATGTGCTGTATGTTGATATGGACTGTAGAGCGAAGAGCTTCAACGCAAGTGTCTGGGCTGAACCATGAGATGTTGAGTAAGCAAGAGAATGGAGAAAAGAGGAAACCAGCTGCATGATATTCAATGCATTGAGCTCTTCTGTTTTTAGCACTTCTTGATTTGCAGCTGCGACTTTATGATGGCAAGAAAAGCTTAAACGAGAGTCAGCTTGTAATCATGAATCTTGAGGAGGTGATCGAGTCGCTCAATAATCACGAAAACAGCAGTTTGGTGATTTTGAATCATTAAAACATTTCAAAGCAACTTTAAGTTCAAAAGTCACAGAAAACCTGAGCTTGCTAGATTGAGTTCTAGAGGATATAGTAGTTTAACAGTGACACGAGAGAGTTAAAATGAGGGTTGAAACAGTTCAAATATCTGCATTCGTCCATCTGGAGTGAGTTGAAGCAGTCACATGTTTTTAAGGTTTACAGCAGGGTCAGAAATTAAAAGGGGATTGTGGCAAAAAGCCACCAAAATGGACAAAAATTAATTTCAAGATAAATTGGCAAAAATTGCCCCTGCGCAATTAAACAATCGATTACAGCTGTCGCGATTAAAATGAAATGTGCAAACGAGTAAAGTGTCTAGCTGTGGAATTATTCGAATTCGAACACTCTGCATCAGGTTTGCTTTTTACAATTTTTTTTTTTTTGCAGCGTTGAGTCTTATAACCAATCACACGCGTTTCCGTTGAGCTTAGGAATGCAGTTGTTGTTTCATTTGCGTGCCCACTTATTGAATTCTTTGCGCTGGTGAATTTCCTCATCATAAACAACACTGTGCAGAAATGTTGTACATAAAATATACATTTTGTGGCTTCAGTGATATAAAGGGAGTGTTTGCATAACTTGCACTAGACTAGTCTAACGTCATTGACCGACATGGACCGCTTATCTGTGAAGCCAGAGCCAGAATATGACGAGCCGTTTACCCAGAACGCAGACACAAAACACAAAAAAAGTTAAATTTGTTCATTATTCAGCATTAATAATCATTATTACAATACCAAGAACAATTTTTGTCATAATATTGCAGCCATATTGGCTCCTGTTTTTAAACGTGTAATTTAGATACAAGTTTAAACATGTTATAGGCAACAGTTTCAAGTATTTTAATTGATTGAAGAAATTGGTTAAATTAAAGTGTTTATCATTCAAGACAACACAGATACAATTATTAAGGTGGTGATAAAAATTGCCCTCATTAATATTTTCCTAAATGGAAAAGTTAATTTCTGACCTGGTTTACAGAACACTTCTGTTTACAGATAAATATTGCATTAATAATGTCTTAAATTTCATTCCTCAAATACTGGGAACGACCTGAGAAAGGCTGAAAAGGCCTGATAATGGGTTTGCACACATGACTGCTTAAAGTACTGATAGTAAATTGTATTCTACTAGCTAAACTAGTCCAGGGTTCAATTCCCAAATAAAACAATAAAATAAAAAAATAAAAAAATTCAATTAGAAAAATATAAATGCACTCAAAACAGTTGAGTTTATTTCTTTTAGTGAAAATTAGTGTCCATTTTTTTATTTAATAATAATTCATTTATATTGTCACCCAGCTCTTTATATTGTTTATATTGTTGCATATACATTGTAAACAAAAAATTGTGTGTGTGTGTGTGTGTGTGTGTGTGTGTGTGTGTGCATGCAGCTCTAATCTGCTAAATGCATTTTCTGTAAAGCTTCTTTGAAACTGTGTATTGTGAAAATATAAGTAAATCAACTATTTATGCTAGTGGTCTGAATGTCCTTCAATATGAATCTACTCTGATCCATGTTTTCTGTTTTTCTGCTGATTGAGAGTGTTTTTCAGTGTGTTAGAGTTCTGTTACATCACTTCCTTCAGCTCGAGTTGTGATGGTTATGAATGTAAGGTTGATTAAACCATTGTTTTGGCAAACACTAGATTAATGCTTAATTTTGATCGGAGTTGAAAAATCTTAGGCCGGTATGGGGTGGATTTCTTAAGCATGGTTTCCTGATCATGTCATGTGACTTCCTGTATGTGAAAGGAAACATCTCATTTCTTCTGAGTGCAAAAGGTCGTCTACATGAATCAATGTGTTTAAATAAGTCAGCTCTGAAACATTCAGCTCTATTATATGTGGGTCAAAGATGAGACGTCATATTTCGGTGTTTGCATTAACATTTTCAAAAACCTAGTGGTTTTGAAGGACAGTGAAGGTTGATAAAGAATTAAAATGACAATTAATTAGTTTTTGATCCTGAAATAAAGTCATTTAATGAAATCTAATGGTTCTTGTTCTAAATAAGCCTGACGAGTGTTTTTTTGGTATATGAACTATTGTTACACAGAATGATATTTCCGTAAAAATGTACACACTCTCATGAGAAACTGATAAAGGAAATAAAGTCCCATCTGGATATTTAGAGGAATTTATTCACGTGATCTGAAGTTTGGTTCTGCATTGTTTCACACTCATCGAGATGTAACTTGTGTAAAATACTTCTGTTTGCTTCCTCAATAAAGATACTGAAGTGTGAAGCAATTAAGATTTTTTAACAGATGTGATGCTGCACTAATAGGCTGAATATGTTCATAAACAGCAGAAAACTGAAGTGAGGATTCATACACGTGTAGTTATTTGTGGACCTATGTCACACACAATGACCCATTTACACAGATGTTTCTTTTCTGCACTTTACAGCTGCAAGAAGTTCTCCATTTATAATAATATAACACAGTCTTCCTTCTCTATTTTATCTCAAAGCCAAACATGTATTTGCATGTCTGTTGTACTTCAAGTGATAATTCACAATCTGCCAACTTTTTCTCAGACTCTCATATCCTGTGACTTTTTCTCTGTGAAGATCATTTCAAATACATATCAGTGTTTATTCAGACCCCACTAGCTTAGAAAAGAATAATAGTCTTATTTTGTTGAATACCTTATTTGAATACTCAAAACTGAAGAGTAATTCCTTTTTTTTAATTTACCAAATATAATTTTTACTTAAAACACCCAATGAAATTAATTTAAGTGTAAAATATAGTAGTAAAGATTATTTAAAAAATGAAACAAAAAAATTGTAATCATTCCAAACATTTGACTGTGTGTGTGTGTGCGTGTGTGTGTGTGTGTGTGTGTGTGTGTG